TTGGAGAAGAGGAGCCTGAGGGGTGACCTCATAAATGTCTATAAATATGTCAAGGGGGAGTGTGAGGAGGATGGAGCAAGGCTCTTTTCAGTGATGTCCAATAACAGGACAAGGGGCAATGGGTACGAGCTGGAACATAGGAGGTTCCATAAAAAAATTAGAAAAAACTTTTTCACTATGAGGGTGACAGCACTGGAACAGGCTGCCCGGGGGGGTTGTGGAGTCTCCTTCACTGGAGACATTCAAAACCCGCCTGGACAAGTTCCTGTGCGATCTACTGTAGGTGATTCTGCTCTGGCAGGGGTGCTGGACTAGATGATCTTTGAGGTCCCTTCCAACCCCTAACATTCTGTGATTCTGTGACATGCTCAGTAATGACAACCTTCTCACTGCTTAGTTTTACTGGTTAAAAGAGCTGTTCTTTATTAAGCAGAAAGGAAGATAATGATGTATACTTGAGATGCTGAGAAATACTTCCTTTTATTTTCTCAATGAGTAATCAATAATGAAGTGCTCAAATATAGATCTGTGAATCATCTGGAAGTACCTGCAAAATTCTGTGCTGCACAGAAACATCTGCAGGTCATGAAAAGGATACTTCGAAACTGAACTTTACATGTACCTTAATTACTACAGAACTACATGTGTCAGAGCACCATAGCTCTGGTACCATTCCAAGCCTCAAGGCTGTCCAGGAACTTAAACTTCACTAGAGAGCTGGCAAGGAGCTGATCCTGTTCTTCCCTCCAAGGTGGTATTTCAAGCTGGAGATCTGACTTCCTCTCACTGCTGGCTGCTGCCATTTGCTGTGTGGGACTTGCTTTCATTTTGTCAAGTGCCTCTGAAATGGGTGTTTGTGGAGCAATGACCCAGCTGTCCCAGAACTCAAAATTCCCAGTTTGGCACTCATATGGCCAGCACTGGCTCCAAATTGTATGCGGTTTGGTTTAGTGTTTAGGATTTGCAACTTTGAAAATTGGCTCATATTTTGTTTATTAAGGTTGGCAAAGGATGGAGGAGGATTTAGGAATAAAGGACCTAAAGTCACCACATTTGTGTGGTTGGTTTTATCTCAAAACAAAATTAAGTTGCTATGTTACAAATACACAATCACTTTGTAACTGCCAGACTTTTAATTAGGGTAGAGTTATTGCTAAGAATTTTAATACATAGAAAATTGTCTGTTCTACCTTTGCTTTATTTCAGCTAAAATATATTTATTAAGTAAATTGAAGAAAACCCAAGTCTTACTTTTGGCATCCCATACCACAAGTCTTTTAATTTGTGCTGCATTTCTCTACCTAGTAAGGAATAACAACCAGCATCTTCCTGATAGATTTGGTTGCTCAAACAAAGCAACTACACAAACCCTTCTGCCAGAGCAAATGTTCACTAAACTGGGTTTTCATGTGCTGAGTGTGGTGTATGAGAGGAAACAGATACTGCAGAAGTGATTAATGTAAGGTTGAGTTCCAATTAAAATACACCTTGAAGCCACTGATTCAAGCATCAGCTCCTTTCCTACTTTTTGATACACTGATACATTAACTGCATTCTTTCTGTTCACACCTTACTGCCTAGACATTGCAATTATTGAGGTCATGTTAGTATTCCCAGTGTCATTGTCACTAGTATGCGTGTCCTGGTACTATACTAGAAAAGCAGCAATATGGAATTTACCTTATATGTGCAATGACTATTTCAAACTATCTTTAGATGAAAAAAAGTGGTTTCTATTGGAAAATATTTTCATTAGAAATAAAGTAAGTACCTCTAAAACACAACCTTTCTTGCAAAGCCCAAGACTGATGCCATCCCTAAACTGGGTATGCATGTTAGACCAAATTTTTAGTGGCTGCAAACCACCGCTACTCCACTGAAATCAAAACTGCCACGAGGACTGATGTAACCACAGTGTTTCCACCACCTGAAGCTCAAAGTGAGATCCTAAGGCCCAGATCCTGAACTTGGTTTTTCAGAGCATTCTACTGCACAGAACAAGCAAATATTGTTGGTGAAGAAAGAAAACAACCACTCTAATGACAAAGCATTTCCATTTTGTACATCCACATGAACATGATAGACTGTAAAACAACTTGTTCTTACATATCGTAGACGTACATGTAAACCCAACACGTTCATTATTAAACTGTATTATGCACACTTCTTTTACAGTCAGCTTGTGTCTTTCAAAACTAAGAATGTCTTCTGGAGCTTTGCAGAGAAGTGCGGTGTAGCCCAAAGCTATTCAGAAATACAATGTTCATAGAAGAGCTACCTTATAGGCTCCAATGACTAAATCCTTCACTTCCTATTGTTCATGGGCAAAAATTCATAGCAATGCATAAAATACATTGTGTGGAAAAATAACTGCTTTTATATTCCTTGAAGTCTGAAAAATAGGTATGTAGCTTGAACAAATACACAGGATTGTATTTTCTTCTAACTGTTTCACTGGATTAACCATGCAATGATCTGCATTGGTGGTGGACACCTAGTTCTTGTTCCCCAGCTCTTCTCTCTTGCTCTATGGTTGCAGCACCAGCAGCTCAGTGCTGAACTCCTGTATGGATACTGGGAATTCTGCCACCTCTGACAGAGCTGGATTTACACCTATCCCTCAGGAGCTGGTTCCTAGAACAGACTCTTCCAGTGAGATGGTGACTTGTGTAGGTAGACATGTACAGTGAACCTCAATTTAAAATTTACAGATGAAGAGTAAAGCTCTGGCTGTGTCAGTGAAGGGAAATCTGAGTCTGGCTGAACACGTATTTAAAAGTAGTTTCAGATTGTTGAGTATGAAACAGTCTCCTGGTTTTGAGGTCTACACCAAACTGTATTGCATGTCATTCCTGAACACTGAAGAGAGCTCTTCACTACTACTCATCTAGGTCAACAGGGATTTGTCTGCTAATTTCAACAGAAACTGAAACAGATTATCAAGGTTTATGGCAGGACTATTTTATGATCTCTTACTATGGGATTCTCTAAAGTGCCTTTCACTTTGTGGCATGCAGACTGTACTTCAGTCCCTCCTCAGCACATCTGCAGTGTTAGGACCTCTGTATTCAATCTCCAAAGTTACCTCAAAAGAATTCCCACTTATCTCAAGTGCCTTATTTCAGATTTCCTCTTCTCCTTTACTATCTGACAAAATCTAGATTTAAGACTATTCTAATCCATGATGTTCTAAGGACCGTATGCAATGCTAAGGAGAAACATCATCATGGATGGAACTGCAGTAAGCAAATGAAGGAAAGGAAGAAATTTTACACCAGCAACAGAAGTCCCACATGAATGCAGCTTCAGTGTAAAGGATGGCATTCTGTCTCTTCCCATTCACCTGCCATACAGGGCAGTATTTTTGCAGCTCCCAGGTCAGGGCTGGTATTTATACACGTGAGATGAGAAAGTTTCACCACTGGCACTTGCCGCTTCCTCTGACTATGTCTTCCTACTTGGGCTGGGGTAGAAGCATCAGGTGCAAGTGTATTAGCAGGGAAAACAAACAAGGACTGATAATTTTCCAGCTTCCTGTAAAGTTAAAGACTGTGAAGAGTATCTTGAAGTTGTTAGCATTTGAAATATCCCATGTACGTCTTAGCCAAAGGAATAGGAGTGGAAAATCTGTGAGACAGTTTTTCAGAGACATGTGAGAAGGGACGACATTATATTCATTTGACATTTTATGCATAAAACTCCCTGGGAGTCTCAGCCCTGCAAAAATTACTCGTCACTGGCCTTGCTGATTACAGATTCCTTACCATTAGCTTCACGTAGGAAATTAATCTATTTTAGTGCTTTTGTGATTTGCAGAATTTCTGCAGTGCCAGTACTGTAACTTCTAACCATAAATCAGCTTCTCTCTGACCTGATTTCTGCCTCAGTGATCACAGAGACTCTAATGATGCTTTGAATGTGTGATAAAAGGTGCTTATTACTCACAAAACTTTACATTCATCATGTTTTCCTGATGCCAGGCTCACACAAGAAATCATCACTTTCAACAATAACGGACTCAGAGCAGTAAGCAGATTCTAAAACTAGCTTTCTGTGCTAAGATGTTAGTTTCTTATTTCTTACCTGGGATCCTTTACTGCTGTGATCATAATTTTATTATAGAGGCAAGCATTCATCTCAGAATAACTATTAAAGAAAATTATTTCAAAACAAACTTCATCGTTTATTGAGAATGAAAGACTTGTGCTTTAACAATGAGTTTCTGAGCAGACTAACAGGGTGACAATTTTTCCTAGAAATAAATACTCTTGAACTACCAGTATTGTTAAACAAAAAATATTTTGAGATGTGTTCAGGACTTGCGTGAGGCAGCCTAAAGAACTAGTCTATTTCTCCGCGAGTGTTGTGATCTTGTATGCAATGACTATTTTACCTTTGTTTTATGCACTCCTTAATGGGATGGTAATATTTTGGGATATCCTTTGGGGATCAACAAGATTTGAATACTTTGGAGTAACACTTTCTGTTCATCTGTTTGATTTGTCCTGTAACATGCAAAATCTTTTCAGAGGTCACCAAGCTTGTTAAAAGGGGGAAAGTAAAGGATTCCAAGCCAGTTACATCTTATGAAAGTTGATGGTTCAAAATCTAGTGTTAAAGTACCAAAAGTTACTGAAAGTTTCCAATTGCCACATCCTGGTTCTTTCTTTCCTGTTTGTTATGGGCTAGCTGGCACTGTTACTACTGTTGGATGGTCACTTCATACAGGTGGTATCAGGAGATGTGGAGATAACACAGCCTGGTGGGCAGGTCACTGTTGACTTCCTGCTGCAGTACACAGGAAGAAATGCTATTTCCACGTCTGCATCAGACTCCCTCTATGCCATCACTTTCAGAGGCTGATGCAGTTTGAATATGATGTGTCCTTTCACCCAGTCCTGTCCTCTCCCACATTAGCTTGGATTTCCACCTTCCCACCCTCCTCCTCACTTTGTTCAGAAGCCATGTGAAATGACATGTTTGTGCTGGCTGGTGCTGAGCTAGGCAGATGTCTCACCAGATTTTAATGCAACAAGTTCAGAGTCCTCTACATATCTTCCATTTGACTGTTCATTGTTGGAATCATTATGGTACAAATAAACAGGGACCTCTGTGATTGATGTTGCAGTGTAGGAGGTAGATCGTGTGGAGCAGTGCTCTCGGTGCCTTTGGCCCCACTGGGTTTTGTACTGTGTCCATTGCCTCTTCAAAGCTCCTTGTATCTGTTAAAGAGAGACATATTTATGTTGAGGCATAAACTAAACTACTAGAATTGTAGATATTTTAAAATCTGCTACAGGAAAGAGAAGAAAAAAGAGAAGGGAAGGATGTCAGTTAGATGTTCCCCTATGATGTAAGTGTGGAAGAGATTGCTGCACAGGAACACAGTAGTTTGCTCTGGTAGAAGAGGGAAGAGATAGGAGGGATAAAGACTAAAACCCATATGATGCTGCATCTGGATCCTTGCCCCTGGAATGGCTAATACACTGTGAAACTTAACCTTGAGTAAAACTCACCATGAATAGTAAAGTGTAAGTAAGCTTCAAGAGCTTGCCAGGGCTTATTTTGCAGAGAGGAAGAGTTGATGGATTAGTACAGCTAAACAGAGATTTTGTTCTAGTAATTTAAGAACAGGTTCTGTGCTGGCAAAAAAAATAGCATTGGTCATGGCCCTCTGCGTAGCAGAGAATTTCAGCCTTTGGACATTCTTGTTCTAGGAATAAAATATTTTATTTAACATTTACATTCTGTGATGTTACACTGGCGCTAGGATATGACTTAAGCTACTGAATCCTGCCAGGGACTACGAAGCTCATCTCCAGCGACGTGTTCAGGTGTGCTGGCACTCACTAGTTCCTTCCCAATGGAAGTGCTGAGACATGAGCAGAGAGTGGGCAAACTCTGGCTCTGTTCATTTAGATCAGCAATTCCTGCCATGAAAATGCGAGAATAGGAGGAGTTTGCCATGATACTCTGATGTAAATGACTACTCCTCAGAGGAAGACAAGTGCAGGTGAGGCACTGTGCTGACAGGAGTGTCCTAGAGCTTCCGTGCTCCTGCTGGGATGGACGACGTATGTTATTTTTGCTCAGGGAGTCTGAGATCACTCTCTAAACTGTGTGCAGAACAGTATCTTTATTCCTGCAGATCAGTCTGAATGACTTTAATATTTACCAAGCCTCCCCAATTCTAATACATATATAGTAAAATATTATGTACTCACCACCCAGAGCTGCCTGCAAGAAAGCTGTTTCATGTCACGTAAGGACAAGGCTTCATAAGGAATTGCTGTGAGTCTGAGATGCTTACTGAGTGATCAGCAGGACAATGCAGCATGCCAAGAATGGATATTTCAGTTGCTTTAGCTTTTTATTTTTAATCCAAGATGTAAGCCAAGGTATGAGGATTGATGCTATAAATCCTTACTCATGCAAGTAGTTGCACTGACTTCAGTATGACTGCTTTCTTGAATAAACAAACTTTTGCTGGACTAGTCCTTTAAAACTAACTGAAAACAATATCCATGCCCAGTTTCCAATACTAGCTTTTCTGCTATTGCTTAGCTCAAGACAAAGTAGTTAGAAGTTCCTTTCATTTGAAAAAATATATTGGTACTCACCTTCTCCGAATACATAAAAAAAAAGAAAACAAAAGGCTGAGTGTAGGTTAATTAGATATCAACCACAGAAGAAGCATAAGGTTACAATGGAAGTTTAATTAGTGGGACTGTGAGCAAACCTTACTACACCAATATTGAGATTTAAAGTGAAATGGCTTGATGCAGAGATGTTTCATAACATGCCATCACCAAAGTTTATTAGTGAGAAAGAACTACTGTGTGAAATAATAATGCAGTTGTAGCACATAATACAGAAACATGAAACAAACAAGGTAAACTCTGTAAAGATTTTAGTCACTTTTGAAATTGCCTTTTGATGTTACAGTATGAGTATTGTAGGTCGGTCACCCCAGAAGATATGGAGAGGGAATGGAAGAAGAAGTCTGCAGAAGGATTAAGTTAGTGACTTTCCCCAGTAACACCCTTGGGGCAGTGGTTCCTGTAACTGTGGCTGGACATAATGAGGATAACGCAGAAATCATGGATGTGCACAGCAGCTCTGCCCGCCTGCACCCACCTCTCCAACATCACCACCATGGTCGGCGATGCCTGCAGGCACTGCACAACCTCTGGCCCTACGTGTCGAGTGTGTTTGCATTTCACAGCAGTTCATCCATACAGATTAATCTCAGTGTCATTAGTGAGGGTGGCAAGAACATATTGACAGCCTTCCTGTTCCTCTCCTAGCCCACCTTCCCTGTCCCCTGCATAGACTGCAAGGCTTTGATTGCTCTTGCCTGGGGAGAAGAGCTGCTGTGAAGGTGAGGAACTCCTGCTGAGCTCTCAAACAGCTCTCATTTGAACTGGAGTCTGATGGGCCACCATAGGTCTAGAGATGATAAATGGTAACTGAAGAGGGAAGAACAATGTTACTGAGTCTTACAAAATCTGTCAAGAGGAATTTATAGTTTTCTTCTCAGAAGGTCATGGCACAAATTGTATGGTCAGGGAGAGAACAGGCACATCCATTCTAGTTCAGCCCATGATGAGAAGCTGCTTTAGCCAGGTTTAAAAGGCTCCATGACAGCATGAGGTTAAAGCAGCTGTGCTTTTATTCTCTGCTGAACTGCTGGCCTGTGCAGGAATCTGGCCACAAATGGATAATGGATAGCACTAGCTGCCGCACTTGAATCAAATAACGTGTTAATCTAGATTTCTGCCATGATTCCAAGGATCTCAGATGATCATAATTCAGTGCCCAATAAAATTGTTCATGCATGCATTTTAAATGTTTAAGCACAGTTACTGAAAATCACATGTAGTGCAATAACATGTTAATGACCAAGGAAGCTCCTACGGACTGGGCGGGACAGGGCGGGACAGGGCAAGGCCTGCCATGCTTTCTGCTGTGATAGAAGATGAAAGAAAGTAAAGTCTAAAGAAATGAAGAGTCTGAGTTTATTTACTCTGCTCTTCAGGACTACAAAGATTTTTCAGTTCTCTATTAGCCATTCATGCCTCTTTGGCACACAAGATATATGGCTGCTGGTGTTGTGGTTTTTTTTTTTTTTTTTCCCCCCTTTTCTTTCTTCCAAACAGACTTTCAATTTTGCTGGCCAGCCTTGCAGTCTAGAAGCAATCTCAAGCCTGGAAATATGGTTTGGTGAGCAGACTATTGCAGAGACCTTCTATCATTGTACAACACTGTTGCTGGACAGAGAAACTACAGTGCTGCTGGATACTGAGACTTTATATGAAAATGCACAAGAACATCTGTCATTTTAAAAGTTTCAAACAAATCCACTGTTTATAGGTTCTTCCACATTAATGCAGGCATCAGCACAGCTTCTTATTACTATTTTTACATTTCTTTCTGTAGATAGGCTCATGGTACTAAAATGAGGTTAGTGAGGTAGCTGGCGATGAATGCAATATAAACGCTGTCAGGTGGTACTGATATTAGCCTTGTTTGTCCTGGCTAAACTTCGTGTATTTCAGCCTTGAAGTTAAATACTCTGGTAGGAAAAAGTAAATCCCAGAGCATCCAGGCTTCTGCGGTACTAAAATTAATTTCCTTGCCCTATGGTGAATTTTTCTCATGAGAAATAATGTAGCCTGGAAACAATCTCCTACCATGACTGAGATCTGACTGTGTCTTTGATCTGTGTCCTGCTGCACACAGCAAGACTGGGGGAAGTTAGCTTAGTTGTCTTGGGCAGTCAAACTCAGACCAGCACTCCTTTTGGGAGGACTTAATATGATTTGGGTATTGGTATGTTGCTGCTCCTCTATAGGTTTTCTTCCTTAGATATCTATACCTTGTTTAACTGCAGGAATAAATGTGACTTAGAGAAAAGGGGTCATAATCCTTTCACATCCCAGCACAACTATTCTAGTACACAAACTTACTTGATGTTTATTCTTAATGTGCTGATGCAAGTAGCAACAAACTGCCTTGAGTCTGTATTACAGAGCTGTCATTTTTGACTTTCTGGCCACCTTAATGGGAAATTCTAAAAATAGCTTCCCTTATTATCTAGTAAATAAAATCTCCTGTAAGAAGATAACAAGAGGGTTTCTCAGAATCCCTCCCATTGACCATGCTAGTCTGCAAGTCTGAAGCAGACACAACAACTTTGAAAATGGCTGTAATGGTGAAAAGTACCCAAGCATGAATAAAAAATCACTCAATATATCTGGGAAACCTGAAACCCCATGGCTGTTTGTTCTTACTGCTTGACACTGATGAATGTTTCTGACTAGCTGCTCCACCATGGAGTCCTTAATCCTACATACAGTCTAGAGTTACCCAAATGTAGTTAAGCCATCCATGTGATTACCTATGAGAGCAATAGAATACAAAAATGGAAACTGCATTTCAATACCAAATTAGTTTTTATCTCCTTTTGGGCATCATCCTCTCCAGATGTGTTCCCCCCGTGATGGCTCACTGACAATTCAAGTATCAAAATTGGGTATCCAGATATCTTTTTGTTGGCAAACAGATGCTCCAATTATATTCATTATCACACAACTTGAAAATTGTATTCCTGGAGTTGTAATGGTAAATACGCTTTTCAAACACTCTGGCACTACCCAAAGTACCTTGGTATTACAGCTATCTGATGAAACAGTCTTTAGGATATTTTATGTTTTTAGTATATTTTCTTGCTGCCTTTTCTTATATTTTGCACTCCTACAGTCTTTCATCTGGGCACAAATGTGATGTGGCAGTGGAGGGAGGAGTTTGGCTGCTGGTCTGCCTGTTGATGATAGTATCATTTTATGTCAGGCAAGTGGCCAGCAGAAGAAAGCTCTTACCACTGTAAGAGCTGACTGTGCTTGCACTGGGGTTAGGAGGTCTGTTTACACAATGGATGTGCTGTGTGGGGGTTCTGGTTGTTAGAAAGCCTCCCTGACTGTGCATAGCAGATGGAGTCACCAGGGTGGTGGGGAGAAAGATGAGTCTTTCTTTGGGAGAGTTCTACATAACTGGAGTCCTTGTCTGTCTGGTTCCATCTCCCATGGCATGGTTCCTTGCCCAGGTTGCTCCCTTCTGCACATCCTTTGCAGTGAGTGAGTGCATTGACTTGTTCCTCCCTCTGCTTGTCTGGCACTTTGGATCTCTAGTGTACAATGTAGTAGTGGAGGGAGGACTCTGACTGTTGTTTTGCCTGTTGATGATACTATCCTTCTATGCTGGACAAGTGGTCAGCAGAAGAGCATCACTAAAGCTTGCTCTGTATCTAACTCATCTACTCTGGATCTAAAGTTAACTTTTTAAAGTAATTCTTATCTTTGATAACATATGTGGTATCTTATTTCACTACAGTTGAATGCTCCTGATATATTGAAAAAGCATTTTTCTGCTAACCATCTATAGAAAGTGGCTTACTGTAGGAATTTAAATGGTTCTTGACATTTTAACATACTAATTTTTTTTTTTTTGTAAAAAATAGTAGCGAAGTGGACCTAAAACCAGCTGTAGGTATCTAAAATACTGATCCAGCTGTAGGATGATGGGAGACATTTTTGCCTCAAAGTGTTTTAATTTCTCCATCACTACATGAGAAACACTGCCTGTAAAAAGGCCCCACTCAAAGAGTTAAAGTAACTGCACTGCTCTGGGGTCATCTGTCATGGCTCTGGGGCTGAACACAGCACACAGCTCTCCAGGAGAGACCCCCCAAAGATCCCCACTCCTCCTTACGGGGCATTGTGGTCCTTCCCACTATTCTGGGACAAGAAGACAAGTAGAGCATTTTTGTTTTTACTTAGACGTCGGTATCAAAATTGCAGATGGCAGAGGGAGAGTCTCATGCTTGCAGCTCATTTAGTACTATCTGCTTTGTAATGGTAACACTCCCGATTCATCTACTCAGAGATACTCTAGTCACGCTCCGCACAGAGCTTTCAAAAATGCACACTGCTGCTTTTAAATAGAGAGTAAAAAGGAACTTTGTGTGCTTTCAAAGTTTATAGCGCAACAGGTTTCACTTCTGCATTAATGAACAAGACACTGTCTACTTCTCAAGTTCTGCTCATCAGCTGTTTCACATGCTTACCTCACCATTGAAGAAGCAGAATATAGTTGCCACAAGTAAGCCCTAAGAGAAAGGAAAACAGAAGAGTTTAGAGATCAGGATATATAATTGGGGGAGGGCATTGTTTTGAATTTTGGACTTAGTGGATACAAGATAAAAATATTAGTCCACTTCTTCTGTATCACAGACACTTTGCCTAATCTCTTCCACTGTCACAGTTATGTTATTACACTGATTTTTTTTTTTTTTGTATTTTCAACATGTTTTTCCATTTTATTCTTTATTACTAGCATTTATAGATTCTATATTTTGGCTTTGATGTTATTTTTGTAGAAGAGGCCTAGAGAAGGAAAATTAAATGGTGTGTAAGGTAGATAGCTATTTTGCTTACAAAAGAGCACCACTTTGCTACTGACTTTGCTGAAGAGATGGCAGAGGAATTGTGTCCTACATGCTGCCACTCATTTATCTGAGTGCAGTTATTCAGTTAAGTGCCAGCCAAGTTGAATCCAGCTGCCCCAGGAAGGCTTTCAATTGAACTGTAAGTCAGGATAAGTAAATGTGTATATGGGGCAACATGATGGATGGCGAGGGCATGAAAAGAGATGTAAGTGGTCAGGAAAAGGGGAAAAAAAAAAAACAAGCCCACAACAGGTGAGTTAAAATATAGAGGGGTAGAAAAAGAGAAATTGAGGATCATAGCTTGGTTCTAAATGGCTTTAATTTAATTATTGCCACAGTTATTCAGATAATATTTCACAACTGCTGCCAGATTAAAGAAGGTCTAGGTAGGTGAGAAAGTGTGAAATTAGTAAGAGAAAAAAATCTCACACACAGAGCCTGCCATTCAGAATCATGTAGTTACGCTGGTCCATGTCTTAACCACACTTGCTCTTATTAAAATAGCATTACATAGCATCACTCAGAGCCAAATGACTGTATTTTAAACTATTTAAAGCACTTATTTTAAACTAAACGTATATCTGTTTGTGAAACTGAGGTGAATCTGCAATACAATAGCCCTTGGGCTGCTTTGAAGAGTTTTACAGCTGTATCTTTTTTTTCCCAAGCTCTCATTTAACTGATTACCAGTTAAATTCTAGCTAGCACTTTGTAAAATGTTTTGGACTCTCAAGTGTGCATTTTGGACCACAAGTGGTGGATAAGCAATAACTGTTTTAAGAAAATGTTTATCTATTAGAGATACACAGGCTGGTTTGAAGAGGTGCTGACCACCTGAATTCTGGCAATTATTTTACTCCAATAAATTTTCTCTAATGCAGAACTTTTAATTTTACATGACTACAAATATGAACCTTCCATGTGCAAGGAGGAGGAAGGAAGTGAGAAAAAGAAAGTTCCTTTTCATGTTCTGGAAAAACAGTATTCTCAAAAGAATCAAATCCCAGTACAATACATAATGTACAACAGTTTGTCCAATAGCTCTGGTTTGAGAAACACCACAAAGGCAATCAGAACCTTACACCTCTAAAGCAAGACTTTATTTGGACCACAGGTTCCTAAATCAAAAATGTATGCAAGGGGAGCAAATACATCACTTCCTTATACTGATTTTTTCCTGCACTGTCTGGACTTCATTAATCTGCAGAGTCTTGCAAAACATCTCCCGTTGACTGCACAGTACGTGGTTGCAGCACAGGTCCTCCTATTTTGCTAAAGCATGTTTTTATTAACAGCAATCAGCCATGATGGGCAAAAGAGATGGATCTTGATCTCCTCTAGGAGAAAGGATGATCCATGGACAGTCCACATGAGGCATGGCAGATATGAAAGACGGCATGAGAAGAGAAAGAAGCATTGAAATTTTCCTAAGCCTGTTAGTGAGAGTGCTTAGGGGGAATTGGGAACTGTAGTTCACCTAAAGGCAGAAACTGAACCTGAACTACTGAACTGAAGCCAGTTTCCATTTCAGTTTCTGTATGGTATTTGAATTCCTGGTACATCCTGTAATGCTCTTCTTTTTTCTACTGGGGAGTGTAGTACCCTTAACTAGTGTTTTCTTCAGACAACATCTGACAGAAAAGCTAGAAGAGGTTGTGATGGTGCCTCATGCCCCTTTCAGTTGCTCTTCTGGTTTTGGAGTGAGGAGAGAGCAGATCTCGATCTTTGTTATTTTGAGACCATGCATGCTGTTCATCTGGCTGAAGAAATTATTTTCTTTTGTTTGTCCCATACATATCTCTTTGCTCTTCTACCAGCAATGGCCTTCTGGGCTCTGCAATCTGTATTTCTATTTCTACTTCTGTTTCTTCCTTTTTATATAGAAAGTTTTGCCCATGAAGCAGAGTACCATTGTTATCTTTGGCTGGAAAGATACAGAGATATCATGAGATGACACCAACTGTGACTCTTTTGAGACAGGAGGTCTCTGAATGATGATAACTCTACAGTGGATCTATTAAGACATGTGACAGACTGGATGTAGGTCATACAAGGCCCAGAGGTTATTCCTCATATCTCTTTGACATATATCTTCCACACCGTCTCTAACTGCTGCTGGCTTTTGCTCAGTGTGTAATTCTTGTTGAGGATGAGATGTCTGGGTCAATTATGCGTCTCTGCTGTTCTGTGGAGTTGTTAAACTGACCTGTGATATACTGTCTGCCACCAGCAGGATAATGTTGGCTGTGGTATTGAAGGTAGAGATGAAGGATAATTTTTTTTGAGATTAAGGCTTTTAATGACTTCTGAAATTCTTTATTTCTGGAACTGTGTGAAGATCAGGTGAATGTGGCTTAATCCTGGCTTAGGGACTGTCAAGAGTCAGAAGCTTTCAGACCTTCATGTACTTTATTGATGCCATAGTGAGTTTTTCCCCATGTTTTTCATAGAAGTACTTCCCATTCCCATCTCTCTCATTTCAGAAAAGATAAAGAGCTTTGAAGAAAAAAATATTGTGTTCCTCATTGTCTTCACTCAGGGCATATTTATATCTCTGAGGTAAATGACTGCATTATAAAGTGTTTTTTTTATGTTGGGTTAAAAAAACCAAAACCAAACAAGGAAAACAAAGAACGTGTCTGCAATTTCTGCTGCTACTGAGGTGGGGAGATTATCATGAGAGGGCTGAAGATGGAAGACCACCTGCTTCAAATGATGCAGACATCCCACTAACCAAAGGTCACATTTTGCTTCTCCTGCTCTCTGCTGGAGGTTTCATTACTGTAGTTTTGAACATTAACGCTAATAAAAAAATGGCACTTTATAACATTCAGCTCTAAAAAAAAAATACTTCCCTTTTATTGGCTCAAAATATTAGAAAGTTTTGAAATTACTAATAATGCAAAGAAAACAAGAACAGGAAGTTACAAAAGCCCTCTTATGTTGTCAAAAGCAGTTCTATGACCTTAACTTTGCACATAAGGAGAAAATGTTTCTCTCTGGTTTGGCATCAGAACGGATATTTATTTCCCTTTAAATGGAGAAACAGATGGAATTAATACCTTCTAAAATGCATTGAAATAGCTCACTATTTTTAAAAGGCTACTTTTTAATGTGTTCATTTTGTTCTGGGTGAAGCTGATAAGAGAGTTAAATTTAAAACTTGGAGGCAGGATGGATATACATGTAGTCCCAAACCAAGGCTAAAAATGAGGCCCCTATGAGCTGGATCCTCCTGCCTGGCAGGGCAGGTGCTGCAGTCTTGAGAGTGCTGTTTGGAGGGTGCTGAGTTGACACAGAAGTAATGTTACTGATGGAGAAACAAAACTTTGATTATTCTCCACTTAATAGAAAAATACTTTTTGTCAATAAAACTCAAATCCCCTATGCTGAAGAGTATTTTAATTTATCATTACAAGCAGACTTGCACATTTAGGTCCACAGTCAGCAAGGTATTGAGAAGAAGAATAACTTTAAGTGCTTGTGTATTGCTGTTAATTCAGGGGCTATTTCTCCACTGCATCAAATGGGCCTCTGTGGCTAAGCTCTGACACAGTGACAGTGCCATGTTAGGTAGCATGACAGCCTCTACAAACACACCTACAAGATGATGGAGAGAGAATTTGGTGAGATGGGACTTCTGGTGGAAGAAGCTTGCAAGCAGGAGTGTATTAGTTGGTGGAAGGAGCTTGCAGGGAGGAGTGTATTAATCTCTGGGCTTGTTTGAGAGCATCTGGTGGGGTTCTATGCATGGGACTAGCTGAGGTATCATGGGGTTATCGTATTTTTATAGTCTTCCTTTTTTCTTGTTTCTTTGCTATGGACCAATGTCAAAGATCAGAAGCTGAGATAATGGTCCATGGTAGTAGACATTCTGACAGAAGCTCAGCACCTTGATCTCTTTGCACCCTGAGACCTCTCAAAGGATGATCATTGCTTCCCAGAGCGGGGTCCCACCTGACTGTGAGACAAAAGGCACGTCTCACCTGCCCTCTCTTGACACAGACACCTGAGTTCAGTTACATCCAGTATGCAGGGCTGTCACCACACCACTCCTTCATAGGAGACACCCTCTTTGCCCAGGTAGACCATTTGATCTTCGATGGGCAGCACAATGGGGCTTTTAAGGCTCAGATGTATTTTCATACCAGAGGTGTGCAAGAAGCCAGCACGTCCTGTACTGTAACGTTTTACATCTTGAGGAAGTGTGCGTCTTCCATGGGTTTTCAGCATCATCTAACAAGCTTTTGAAAGACTGGTCCTCTAGGGAAAAACCTGCAATTCACTGGCTCTTCTGGAATGCAAACATTTGCTTTTTGTGGTGCCTATTTTAGGAACTTTCCTTAAAAAGCTCACTGCATGCTCAGCAATGCACCTACAGCATCCCACTCTGCATAAGTTACTCCACATAAAGGTTGAAATAGCTTTCTTTTCTTTGGTGCAATCTTCATTTCAGCACAGTCTGGAGACTAAAGAGCTGATACTGGTGATGGTGAGAGGAGGAGGCTGGCTGGACTGGAAAGGTACATGCATTTATATTTGCAGCACAAACCACAGCCTTTCCATTTTTTTGTGAACTGCTCATATAGTCATATTTGAAAAAAAAACACTTAACAGTGAAAATTGATGGTAGTATTGCAAAAAGAGCAGGACAATTCAAAACCAAACTGTCTTCTGTTATCCAAAGTAACTTCAGTAGAGGAAACCTAGCATCTAATATGTCAAAGTGTTGTTTTTCAACTGGGAAAACCATCTTCTGAAAGAAATGCCACTACACAGTTTCTTGTAGGAACAAATTCCTTCTCATTCATCATCTTCAATCCTCTGATTTTTACAATAGACTGCAGTGCTTGTTTGAAGCCTTTCTGTGTACATGGACAGTAACAAATATATCAAACCATCACACTCACTTAACACAGCTCTGTGCTGTTGAAAAACTGTCTTTCTGTTCTAGAAAAGGCATAAAAATTTAATCATATAATCAGTAGAAATGGAGACTGTATTGTATTTTACACCAAGAAAAAAATCGTAATTGCACCCATGATGCCTGCTTGTAGATGACTGACATGCCACAGGATGCAAAACCTGATAGACTGCTGCTAGTCTATGGAGAGGCAGGCTGTGTTGTAGTTTAGGAGAGCCCAATAGCTGTCAGGGACATATATCCATCCCACCAGTTAATACAATATCTACCCATTACATAATCAGTCCTAGAAGAAAATGAGCACTGGAGGAGTGGTTATATAGCTGGCTATCTTAAATATGCATACAAGAAATGTTTGGGGAAGGATTAAGGAAATTTATTTTAGAGTGCAATTAAAAATCCGCTCTAAGTAGAAAAGGGATCACCAGAGCTGGCTGCAGTTAGCAGGGCAAATTCACAGCCCTGACAAAAGGCCAAAATTCACATGCTGGTGTGGAGCACACAGAGACAATATTGCAGAGTCAAGAGTTCTGTGAGGTCTGTCATTGCTGCCCTGACCTGGGGACAACCCTGGGTGGGCTGTCACCCCTTGGCTTGCCTGGTGTCCTCTCTGGGCACAACAGCAGTAGGACACAGGCAGCTCCCATCACGTGCCCATGGCAGTGTCCTCAGCACCATCCTTGCTGCTGAGCCAGAGCAACATGTATTGGCAGGGGGTGACTGGGGTCAAGCCATGGAGAGAAACCCACTCCCAATGACTGGGACAAAGGCAAAAGGAACCCATAGGGATGAAACTTCTCCCCCTTGGATCCCTCCCCCACCTAATCCCATCCATCAGTAGTACATCAATTTTGGTAACATTATTTGTCACTTCTTTTAAGTAGAAAGAGACACTGATTTTTTTTTTTTTCTTTTAAAGCTGTTTTCTTACTACAACGTTAAAATAATTTCTGCATTTAGCTTCTGTATGAAAGGAAATAAGAAGTGGGTGACCTTACCCATGTTGACCACTATTCACAAACACATTAGAAATCTGCCTTTATTAGTCAATACAGGACTGGATATATTACAGTCAGTAAACCAGATAACCAAGCATCTGAAGTCATCTAGGGTTTTGTTTGTTTGTTAAAACAACCCAAACTTCCTTACTGATGCTGTATTTCCAAAGCATTTATAAAATAAAAATGTCAGTCTTATACTTTAATTTGAACTGCCTAATAATGATATTTTAACTCCTAAATGAAGCTTGTCTCAGTTTTGTCTTCTGTTTGTTGGCATTCCCTCTGTACAACAGTTCTTATACACAGATAATTTTAGTATTAACCTCACAGCACCAGTTTCAGTCAATTTGAGCACTTCAACAAAGATCACTTTGGAACATAAAAGCTCTCTGTGATCTCAGTTTTCTCTCCTTAGTTGAGAAACAGTGCCATCTGATAATTTTTGCTAAATTTTCCACTGTTTCTCCTGCCTTGTGGTTGTTCTTTATGCTGTGGTGCTAGTCATGCAAAGGCACATGATCTAATAATGTGAAAGTGGTTGGAAAAGAACTGCAAAATCATGGTCAGTTTCAGGGTAAAATAACTGCCAACAGTTTCTTTGGCTAAGTTAACAGCAAGCACCTCGTCTGAGCTGAAGCCGCTACCATATAACATACCTGATAATGCATTAATATATGCATGATGTAATCATATATTTCTCCAGCAAGTCGGTTTTCTGGTCTCCAGGGGATAATAACAAACTGAATTCCCAGTAAGGGTACCAGAATTAAAGTAGCTCTGACAGCTTTCATATACATGTTGGACTCAGCACGGTGGGTATCTCTCAGCTTTGTCACCAAAACTCGAACAATGTTAAGCAAGAAGAAAAAATTGACCTGCAAAAGCAAAGCCATTATAGGTGAAAGCATTCAAATTAAACAGACATTCAAAATAAAAATACACAGCACATAAATGGTGGTAAAATGTAACTTTCTAGCTTTATTGTAGCCCATAATGGGCAGCTCCTTGGTAGTCAAGCCTTGGAAAGTATCTTGAATGCCTTCAGAAAAGAGATGTTAAGCTGCTCTACGTGCTTTACTTAGGAAGCCTGCATGGATGTTTAAAGCAGGGATCAGTTCTAGAAAGCCCTGGCTGTTTTGGCACTGATGTAGGCAAATTTAGGGTTTCCTGTGAACAGTTATTCTCATTTTTATATATAAAGTTTAAACAGGATGGACAAATTGTTCCCTATGAGTAACCATGTCTCACTTCTGAGTCTGAAGGTCACCTATGTATCTTGCTTCAGCTTGCACTGAAGATGTCTGCAGCCAGATGAGACAAATCCCCCATGTCCTTGGGCATATGAGACCTACAAGAGCCATACAACTTCTCTGACGAATATGTTCCAGCTTATGTTGGCCAATACTTCAGCATTGTATCTGAGCAGGGGGGGTAAGGCTGCCCTTGAGAAAAACCTAGGCTACCCCTTGCCTCCACCAGACTGTATGGACCTCATGGTATACTACCCACAGTAAAATAATAACACTTGCTGGCTCACGGCAGAAACACCAGACACTTCAGAAAGTTTTGCCCTTGACCCTTACAGTCAGCAATGCCAAATAGCTCAGCATCTCACCTCCTCAGTCATTTCTGGAAACCTGATTCCAGCTGTGGGTCACTTGCATACAGAAACCCACTCCCAGCCCTGTCTCCACAGAGAGCTCCTTGCAGGATGTGCTGAGAGCCTGTGGAGGAACGAGGAGGGCAGACCCAGGCTGATAATGAGCCAAGTGCATACCCTGGGGGACATCCCAGGTATCATAGACTGTCTCTCTCTCTCTCTCTCTCCCTCTCTCTCTCTCTCTCTCCAGTGTACCCAGATCACTCTCTTCCATTCTGTTACAGTAATATCAGGCACCTATGCTGTGGAACTTCAATAGGCTTTTTCTTCAGATGATTTTTAAAAATAAGCACCTAAGTTGCATCACTTAGATGTTTTGGTAGCCTAAATTCCATAGATATGAGCAATTTCAGTTCAGTCTTTCAGAACACTAAAACATGAATGAGTAAGCTTTGGTAAAGCATTTCATCACTCCTTAACTACTGAGAGACCTTTCAACTGTTTTACATTTGCGCTCTACTGGAAAAAAAAAGTAATAATAAATGACCTCTGAGGTCCCATTCAGCATTAAGTCTAAACATTATTCTCCATCCTACTCTGATTTCACTCACTCTGCTTAACCTTCACTTTTAGAATTTCAGGAAGTAACAGTGTAAAGTAGAAAAAAAACTTTACAAAGGTAAAAATCCTCAGCTCTTCTAAGTCAGTTTGTCACTATGATTTTTTTGTAGCACATCATGTAGGATGTTCTGTAGACATTGACATCTTCACAAGAAAAATAAGATGGGAAATGGCATAAGCTCAATCCAGAAGTTACAATGCCCTATTCTGAAAACAGTTAAAGATTGTTCTTCTTCCATAAAATACAATCCTTCCTTTTTTTTTTTTTTTTTTTTTTCATCTATTAGATGGAAGGTTGTTTCTTTATTCAAAGGTGTTACCAGTATTCACTGCCCAACTGTTTGATCTCTGAGGTAATTACTGCAGGTACACCCAGGCAGATATTTGCAAGCAAGAGACAGCTCAAAAGCTGAAAGTGCAACTTAGGTTATGTACTGAGGTGAGTTTGGGGCATGGGTTGAATCAACCCCTTTCTGCGCCTTTCAGTAAGGTCACGGTTACACTGGTATGCAAGATGCGGTATGTATATACATTGCTTAGCTGAACTTTAAATCTTGACCTCCTATTCAGACAGCCCAGCCCAGTCCCTTCCCTAGACTATTTAATCTCCCTGCCTTTGGACCATACCAGTTCAACTCACCAAGAGCGACCAGCCTGCACTCGGCCCACTCCAGCTACAGCACATCTAAGAGCTTCATTGACATCACACAAAGAAGTTACTCTGGGAGAGTGACCACCCTGGTTTTAAAAAGCAGTTGCTGATTCCGTTTGCCTCAAAATTTGACTCTTCACTGGGAGGTCCCTTTACAGGTTTAATTTTGAAAAGTATTGAGAAATTGTCCTGGTAACACTGAGTAAAGAAAACCTCTATCTACTTCTGAATTTTGAGCAAAATACATAAAAGCACCGAAGCTTCCATTCTGTACAGGTTAGCAATATTTCTAAAATAATTATTTAACTGTTGATAGTAAACAATATTCTTACCAATAAAGCTGCCATTACAGGTCCATGAACAATATAGAGCAAGTGTGTGTCAACGCTCATCCAGCAGCTGGAGAGGAAACACACCATTAAAATTTATTATTAAATCAAATAAAATGTGTTATACAGTTAAATCATGCTAAGTTCCTTCAAAAGAAGACATGCTACTCACTTGTCATTGAAGTATTTGGCTCTTGCAACAGCATGAATAGATGCTGGCACTAAAGGAAACCCTGAAATGATTAAAGTTAGATCAGTCTTCGTATTTTTTTAAGCTTGTATTTCATGTGTCACACATACTAGCAAGTCTCTTATCCACAAAAAAACTTGTATGTGGAATTACAGCTTTCAGGAAAGAACTGCAATCCTGTCAAACTTGGGTCTCTAGCATTACACTGATGGTGAGATGTAAAAGGGAAAAATGTTCAAGGTAGGACAAAAGGAGACACAAAGCCGATGGGCCATGACCTGCTGGGATGCCACAAGGTTACTGCCAGGCTCCCCTGTGCTTCTGTGGCTTGTGTGGGGAAGGGTGTGAGCAAGCAGTGTGGGAAGGGTGCAAGGATCATTCGGTTCTCAGTGGAGTATTCCCTTGGGAAACCAGGGACACTGGTTAAAACCACGTAAGTCACCACTGAGCAAGAGAGAGGCACATTAACTTGCATGTTAGATTATGGAGCATTAAAAAACAGAGCAAGGAGTTGCTCTCTGGAGCCTATGACAAGAGAAAATGTTTGGAGCCATGAGAGGTTTTTTGGGGATGGGGATATCTGCAGGTTCCCAGTCTCCATGCAGTCAGGCCTACTCCCTGCAGCTTTATCTCATGTGGGAGTGAGCTGTGAATCTCATAAACCCACATCTCCTGACTTACCTGTGAATCATAGAATCACTATGGCTGGAAAGGACCTCTAGGATCATCAAGTCCAACCTCCCTCCCAGCATTTCCCTAACCACTAGACCACAGCCTCAAGTGCTACCTCTATTTGTTTTTTGAACACCCTCAGGGATGGTGACTCCACCACCTCCTTGGGCAGCCTGTTCCAGTGCCTAACCACTCTCTCAGTGAAGAAATTCTTTCTAATAGCCAATCAAAACTTCCCTTGGCACAACTTGAGGCTATTTCCTCTAGTCCTGTCATCAATAATTTTGGAGAAGATACCAATATCAGCCACTGCTCTGACAGGGAGCTGATTGGAAAAAATCTGCACCGAGCCAAAGGCTTGGGAACTATGTTATGCTTAAACTGGAAATCTCAAATTCTTATTTCCAGCCTGACATTAAGAGTGACAATCTGGTCCACTTCTGTCTATCTTCCTTTAGCTTGCTTCTATGTTGTGTCCCTGTCTAACAGGCTCGAAACCTTGAACTGGGGAGTCTGCAGTATAATACTGACCCCAGTTTGTACAACCTTGCACATACAGACAGCTGGCCAGTAGGGGAATGATCTACTGCCTTGCCTGCCCTGTGCAGAGAGCTTTGTGGCCACCTTTGGTGTTACTGGTGCCTGTTTTCTATAAATCATAGATATTTCTTCTGAGCTTTGGATATTCTATTATTATAAATAAAAAGTACAGAGGTATAGGCCAGCCAATAGCTGGAGTAAGAAAAAGGTCAAAAAAGTAAGTAGGACACTGATGCCTCCAGGTATCTTTAAGCAACAGCTACTTACTCTACTGCCCAAAGAAGTTCTTATTGCAGTCTACCTTGGGAAGACAATGCAGGGGTGGGAGAAAAAAATGGATTGCCTTCTTCTTTATATATTGTTAGAAAATGATTACATGGCCTCTGGCTGCAGAATGCCTTTTTTTTGGGTGATGATGCATGGCAGAACAACAAAAAGCTCAGAACAGAATGAAAGGTGCTTCCAACCTCAGGGTGAGTTTATGGGATTGACAGCTTGAGAAAATCATTTTGATTTGGAAATAGAGGAAGTCTAGGCCAGGTTTCTTGTCAGACAGATTGAAGTGCAATTTATAAGGGTCATTTCCAGAATAGCAAAAATTCTTCATTTGAAAGCTCTGGCCTGAACTGTCATGAATAGAGTACTCCACATGATAGCAAGGGACCTTTTTTCTTCTGCTAAATGCATTAGGCCAGAATATTTGGTTCAACAAACTCACAAGCAAATCTTAAGAATGGAATGAAAAGTTTTCATTAGTCAGTTACAGGGTAAGAAGCTCGTGTCGCTGTCTGGCTCAGATTTCTAGCAACAGGCTGGATGAGCTCTTCTGAGGCTAGATTTTATTCTCTTGAAAAGGCTGAAACACAAAGAGTTAATGAGACATGGAGCACCTAGGTCTTTTTGGTCTTGGTGGTACAATATGTATCACTCCAGCAGTCCCACCAACATGTGGAGAGCAGTGAGCAACATGGTAAAGGTCTTACCCCAGTCATCCTGGGAAAAGGTATGACATATCCCTTTAGGCCATGCCAGGTCCTTTACAGCATAAACTGGCAGTCATGTTTAATTTTATTTCCAGTTGAATTTAAAAGGCACTCTGTTTCAGCACTGTCCAAATAAATGATTCCCTTTTCACTTTTATGTGGATGAAGATGCCTGAAGCAGCCAGACAGAATGGACTGTGGCTGGATGAACACATTTGATACTGTTTTCTTGCCCTTCCTAACGGTGATTTCCTGACCCAGTGAAACAATAACAACTAAGAAATGCCATCCCCAACAGCAGTTCCCAGAGAAGGGGTCACCTGAAGGCATCAGCCTTGAAATACATCTGTCCATGTCAGATTCCATTCAGTCATCTCAAAACTGTTGTAGAAGTGTTTTACATTTGTTTGGATTTTTATTTTTCTTATAAAGCTATTTTACAAAAGTCATTAATGATTTTTCAAAATAAAATAATCTAGATCTTCTTGCATAGGGCTTAGTTATAACAATGAATAATGAGTAACTTCATCTTGTGATGTACATTTGCCTTGATCTTTTGGGACATGGTTTAATGGTGATTGTAGTGTTGGGTGATAGTTGGACATGATGATCTTAAGGGTATTTTGCAACTTGAATGATTCTATGATTCTTTTGAATTGTAATTCTGAGCACAACCTGCTCTTGTTGCTCTGCATTGGTCTTTGAAGGACTGGATCTCTCTCCATTGAGTAACATAGCCGCATGTCTGAAGTAGGACTGTGTGACTAATACTTCTGGAATCAGTGGAATGATACTATGTGAACTTAAGGGGTGGCCAGATAGTCCCAATTAGATCTTTTTGCTACTAATGATATTTACATTAGCTAGGAGGTGCTAAGATAATCATTAGCTTTTGTGGAAGTATTAATCTAGTTTCACTAAAAAGGCTGCAGACTTCAGTCAGGCATTGTGTCCATTTTTATGAACCTTCTCCTTCTCAAGATATCGTCATTATTACCACAACCACCACTTTTTTTTTTGGACAGAGCTGCAGACACTGATGAGTATCTCATCAGATAGCTCCACTGAATTACCCACCATGACGCTAGTGCCGTTCTCAGCAATATTACAGCTAGCTCATAAGCTTTCACTGCAGGCTAGCTGTCCCAGTTGCACTAAATTACACTGCCTAGATTCATTTGTCACCTGAAAAAAATATGTTTATGATAACTTCCCTTTTTGCATAATTGGATATGCAATAACACTATTTTGGGAAAGTTTATGCTGCAGGACATGAAAATGAGAAAAGCTTTATCTGGAAGGAAATGTTTAAAATGACTCTTCACACAGAGTTGCTGTTTCAAAAGCAAAGCCCTATCAGAATTTTATATCTATTCAAATATTCTGAACTATGAAAACTTTGTGGTAGCACAGTTGCTTGCTCCAAGGGGACTCAGCTATTTGCATAGACAAAGTCCAGAAACCTTGACTCAATTTAGGGTTCTTCAGGATGGTTTGCTCCATTTAAGAGCTGATAATGTTCCACATACTTTTATTTGGAAGAGCATGATAGGCCCCTCTCTTCTCAGAAAAGATGTCATTCTCATAAGAAAAAAGTGTATGATACCATTGTCATAAAAAATAAAAAAAAGAAAGAAACTGTTACCTGGCACTACAATCCATATAAACTAGGAAATTATGCTAATTTTCTGGGTACCTAATGGAGGTATCCAGAGAGCACCAAGTCTTGTACTGTAAGAGAAAAGTGAGTTACCAGGCTCTTAAATGCAAATCCAGCTAGGGGAAGGACAATTTTCCACTTCGCTGTTATGGCATATTTAGGACCTGATATTGGATATTTAACTAGTGGCTGAAGTCAGAGTTTTAAAGTTTTTCATAACTTTCAGATCTGAGTCATTTTTCTCTGATCTAATTAACTCCTAATTTTTATCTGTTTAAGCAACAGGGCTTTTTTTTTTTTTTTTTTTTTTTTTAATTTCCCCCTAGTAAATGAAATAATGTTGCAAAAGAAAGGAACGGTGAAATATTGCCCAGCTTGATTGAATAGATATCAAATGATATCTATTGGCGCCTGTGGAGGAGGAGATAGACATTTAGATCAAGATGACCATCCTTGAGTTTATCAGTAATGACAAGTGTTACTTCTGAGTAAACTAGCCTCATTATAATACTAAAAATCACACCCACAGGGCAAGAGACCCTTATCCAGGTGAAAGCCCTGACTCATAGAGCATGACTCACAGTACAAATAAGTCTGGTGTAATCATATGCAAATTACTAACCAATCATTGTTGGTGGTAAGTTCTTGAAAATTAACTGATAATTTTGTGTATAAAAGAAGCTCTGAAAAGCATACTGGCTTTGTGGGAGGACCTCCAGCACCCAAACTTCTGCAACTTTGTAATAAACAATATCTTGTGTTAGTGTGTGAGATCGGCTCTTTGAACACCAGGTACTAGACCTTGTTTTGGGACATCTAGTCTTAGCCATATAAATGCACTCAAATTCAGGATCCAGGAACTCAGTCTTAAGCTATGATCTAGTGGTATAAACACAACAATCCAGGTGCATAAGTGCTAGAAGAATTCAAACACCTGAAAGAATTGACCATCTTGCTACAAATTATAACGTACATACCCCAGCCCAAAAGGTAATACCAGTGCAAACGCTGCTCTTCAGCAAACACTGCCACCACAATTAGCGTGTGAAGATAAATGCCTTCGCAGAGCATCCAGAAGTAGTTGCAGCCCAACATGTACTGATGGAAGAACTGCAGGACTTTGCAGCTTACCTGTGAGACAAATGTGATAATGTCACACACTAGACCAACATTTTGCATTTAAGAAGACAAAGACAAATGTTACTGCTAGGCTTCTTCTGCTGACCAATTGACCAGCATAGGATAGTATCATTAACGTCCAAACCAGCAACCAAAGTCCTCCCTCCACTCTTAAATCATACACCAGAGATCCAAGGTTGCAAACCACTGCAGGGATAAATAGACGAATGTACTCACTCACAACACATTATGTGAAGAATGGAGTGAGCTAACCCCAGAACCACACCATGGTAGATGGAACCAGCCAAACAAGGAGTCCCATTATGTAGTAGTTCCCCGGAGAGAGACTCATCATCTTGCCCCACCATTCTGGGAACTCCACTTGCTATGAAGACTCAGGAAGCTCTTAGAATAACCAGACTCCCAACACAGCATATACACAATATAAACAGACCTCCTAACCCCAAGGCAAGCACAGTCAGCTCTCATAGAGGTGGCTTTTTGCCTCACCTCCAAGTTAATGTGGAAGGCAGGAGAGCCTGGTGATGATCTTCTAATCAGTTCCCACCCAAGGCTGGCCAGACCCTGGGTGAAAAGCAATCAGGGAGGTCTTTCTTGCCTGGCTGTGGACATCATCCATATGCCAGCCCTCATCCAGGGCTGGGGGTTTAACCTCAGCACTTCATAGGCTATAAGAAAGCAAATTAGAACAAAAATCTCCAGCTCTTGCTGGGTTTGTTCAGCACCTATCAGTGACAGGGATTTTAAACTTTTATAAATGAAATGAATGGAACCGTCTTCATGATATAGAAAAATATGTATAACAGCATTCAAAAAAGTACTATATAACAAAAAATCCCCTCAGAAGTCAGTAATTGGACGTCTTCTAGAACTGAAACAAGTAACTTGTTCCAGGCATACAAGAAAGGCTGTGAAGAAGACAGTAACTTAGAGCTACAGTTCAGGGAATTTCTTGTACTTTTGTTTTCTAAGGTTTGTTCAGCTCTCCTATTTGAGCTAGAGTCACCTTCTCTTTAAACTGCATCCAGCTCTGAACTCGCTCCTTCAGGAAGGGTAAGTGTGTTGAGTGTGGGTGCGGTTGGGTACCAGGGATACTGGCTCCACCTCTCAGCGAGAAGAGAGTTTTACTTTTTATCCGAATAACAAAGCGACACATGGAACTAAACAGATCCGGAGGAGCTGGGAAGTGGCTCCCTCCTGCGGTTCAGATGGGGTTGCAGACATAGACCTTGGCAAGAGACTGGGGTTTCGAGGTGCTGGCAAGCAGTAGCCAGGTGGTGGAGGTAAGCCAGGTGGTGGAGGAGGTGGTGGTAAGTGTGTTGTGTTCACTACTAGAAAGACAGCTGATGTGGGACAATGCTGTTCCTATTCTGAGAGGATCTCATGTCTATCCACCTCCTTGGAGAGGGCGGTGAGGTTCTCCACATGGTCTTCCATGCCACTGGCACCCAGAAGGGCCAGGAGGAATGGGAGGGTGTTGCTGTGATGGCAGAGATCTATGGCTCCTGCGGGAGCATCACAGGCTACTCAGAAATCTGAGGTCACAGCAGTGATGGCACAGTGATGATCAACATCTGTGGCCACAGGAAAATACTCATTTTCCTTAACTTCTGCAGATGTTTTCTAATATGACTACCTAGGCTGTAAGAGATGTCATTAGGACTTACTTGTCTCTTTAAAGAGACATTTTGGCAGTTGAGTAAGTAGAGGACTGCATGCTCTGTGTCCATCTGGGCTGTGCCTCTGGACCAGAAAAGCTTGCCAACCATTCACTGCACCACCTTCTGTTGCTGGAAAACACTTCCAAAGCAATTGCTTGAACATGTGCATTTAGTTCTGTTTCAATACTTGCAGTGCAGCTTAGTGCTCACCAAAATATAGGATTATTGTTAGGTTAGGATTTTGGATTCTGACAAGATTAGCTTGAAGGGCTGATTCTTATTTTTGGTGATTCATTTTTTCTGCTCACCATGCAGGGCAGAGCAGACAGTCATATTTTTTTTCCACACCATGTCTGAACAGTTCATATGAAGTATGCCCAAAAAAGGTTGTATAGTGGTTTGAAAAAAAAAAGAAAAACTTAAGAAGTATTTGCTCCTTTTCTGTCAAATGTGTTCATTTAGGTTCTTAAATCATCCTTGGACTATTTTTCATAGTGCTGGGTCAGTATGTTTCTTGCCCTGTTCTCAGCCTCCCAGCTGGCAGCTGGCCTTTCTCTCTTCTCCCTTTATGGATCACCTGTCCCCTCAAGGACTGCCTTCACTGACAGGCACTTCCCAAAGGCTCCACACATATTCAAGTGGCACCCTCCCTGACATCAGCCAGATACTCTGGTCTTTAAAAAGTCAGCAATCTTTCTGAGCCATCACAGCAGTTTTACAGACAGGTCTGACAAAAACTGCTGCATCCCAGGTTTGGGCTGGGCCAGCCCCATGCTCCCTTGTGATGTCATGAAGGAGCTACAGGTCAGGTCAACCCACGAGCTCCACATGGACATCAAGCCATTGACCACAACTCTTTGAGTGTGGCCACCCAACCATTTCCTTATCTTATACCTATCTTTTAGAGTAATGACCATGCAGACAGCTCATGACTCTTCAGGAATTTAATCACTTCCTCTGCAGTAAGAATACCATTGACAAATCATGAAGTATGGCTGTGGTTGGTACTCAGATCCATATCACTTTAATTTGAGAATGAAGCTGAAGAATGTAGCATAAAGAGTTTAAGCACAATAATGCATTGAGATGAAGTATGTTAAATTCATATTAATCAAACTAGAACAAAAATCAGTCTGCTTTGTATGAGCTAACAAATGCAGCATATTTCATCTATGGCTAAGTGATGCAGTGGAAGTATTGTCCTGCAATAAAAAGAGTGTGTTTCTCTTAGCTCAGAGCAAATAAAAGAGAAGAACTTGTTAGTGATGATAACCACATTCATGCATGGTACAAATAAAACATAACAAATGTAACCAACATCTCCATGTACATTAGTCTTAGCTGGGAAAATTGCAGAACTAGTAAATTTTATGAAGCATTTATTCTTACAGAAACAGCTACAATAAAACCACAACATTTCACAGAAGCAAATCTTCTGCCAATTTCATGCTTGATAAGTGGCTGATTTTTAACAATGAGACAAAAAAGGTCTGGGGTGTTGTCTTCTGCTGAAGTCAGATCTACGTTTTGTTGCAAGCTCTTTGAGGCAGAGGCTCTGTCCTTGTCATGTCTCATACAGTAGGCATCACAGTTAAGCCTAGGGCTCAAGGGATGTGTGTGGGCACACATCACAGCCAGCGCCTTCCCACCATGAAGGAGAGTAACATGTCATGAGCTCTCAATCTGTGGGTGTGCAGGTGACTGAGGCTGGTGGGTTTTAATTCATTAGCTGGGCAGGCTGAGAGGAAAAGAGTTGGTCCTTTCTAGCGCAGGCCACTAACTTGCTCAGGCTGGTGTGCCTGTCTGCTAAGCAAAGGCATAAACAATTGCTCCTCTTTTGAGCCTGGAGACAGACGGCATTGCACTTCACAGGTTGGTGGCTATCATAGAGTCAGGGAAAGTGTCATACGATTAACAGGAAAGCCTCCAAAGCCAGGTATCCACCTAAGAAAGCAGCTCCTTTGTGTCTCTGGGAGGATGGCCAAGAATCAATCCTTTTTTTTTTTTTTCAGAATGCAACCTGGTAAGAAACTTAGTCTGTGATCTGCTACTTGTTCTCACCACACTGGTGAACACAAAAGCTGAGGGAAGTTCTTTACAGATCTGCAGGAGAGTAACAGAGGAAAAAAACTTTATTGTTTAATTTTCCTTCCTCATGAAAGCAACCTGCAATGGCCTCAAATTCTGGCTAACTTCTCAGAGGCAAAAGGCGTCAATAGGAATACAATCAGTCCTATTCTCCTCTCTTGCAAATCTTGCTAAGAGTCATATAACTCTTGTAAACATCTCAGTTGTGATATGTAATAAAAGCACTTCAAAAGGATGCTGGAACCATTTCACAAAGAAGAAATAAAGTAATTTCTTCTCCTTTTACAAGAAAGAGATAAAGCTGGTGTCTATGATATTTTGCAGGATATATTGTTGTATCATAAATACTGTTAATGTTCCAGTCCTGTCAAAGGAGTCACAGCATTCCATCTGCCTACACAGGACCCTGCAATTGTTCTGTAATGTAACTCTCCTCAGCTAATCCAGCAGCCTCTCATGGCAGGTACTTTTCATCTCTCTGTTAAGGCTCTGCTCCATTATCATTCAATAGCTTATGGTTGGAAAGCTGAAGCATTATTTACCATTGCTACCCATTAGGGCAAATCAAACCCAACCATTCAGATTACATAAAAAACCCAGATTGCTATCTTCAACAATAATAACAAAATGTAATGTGAAATAAACTGCTAATTGTTTTCGAGCAGGTCTTCCTAGTAATTCAATCAGAGTAAAAGGACTAACTCAGTTTTGGCACAGGAAAGTAGTACAGATTCCTGTGTGTCCCTGTTCCTGTTAGGCTTTCCTGGGTGGAGGGGCTCAGGCTGGCAAGTTAAGAGGTATGTGTTTTACACTAGTCCTTTCCAGCCTGCTCTGTGGAAAACAAGATAGCCATGGGATAACCCCTCAGTGTGTATAACAAAGCCTCTTTCCAAATGCTCACTATCCATCAAAATGCCTCTGACTGACATTTCAAATAAATTGCTAAGAATAGGCCAACAAAGATTATCAATTTTAAACCAAGCCAGACATATGGGCCACCACTACAGCTGTGGACTTCTTTGTTTAAGGGAAATAAACGTATTTGACCTTATTAATCTGGTTTCTCTTTACTGCCGTGAACCTCTCCAGTGCACAGCAGCAACGGAACCTCCTTGAGGAGAGTTTGTACTGCTGGCCACGGAGGCCAGACATGATTTATTCAAATTCAGTTTGAAGGCAATATAATATATTGTGAGATATTCTTAACTTAGCGTTTTAAACAAGTAACTTGAAGTTTGACTA